GGGGGGGCAATGCAGTGTGGGAAGCCTGGAGGACCAAACAGACCCATATCACAGAACATGTCGTGTCCACATGTAACACTGAGCTGATTCACAGTGAACTAGTTCAAAATAGAACTTAATTTTTTGGGTACACTTTTGAACTGTTTTAGGTGGCTTTAAACCAGTTTAACAGGCTTATATATCTGTCTGTTTTAGTTTAAACCACAATTAAACTGTCCTAAGTGTTGTGTGTGTCCATACCCCTTTTCAGCTCCATAAATGCCTGTTCAGCACCTCGCTGAAAACAAATCTAAACAAGATTGAGATGATTCTGGTGAAAAGAGAAAACCCCTTTAAAGAATCTTTCTCTTCTTCAACAACCCCTTGCACTGAATGTACTTGCCCTCAACTTTGGGGCTCTCTTACACTGCAGTACAAGGCATCACAGCTGCCTGTGTTGACATAATTGAACTAGATTTAAGCCACCTAGATCAGGTATTGAAATGAGTGTAGATGTGGTCAGGGCTGGCTATAGGTGGCCGCTTGGGGCCCAGACAGAAAGGAGGCCCGAAAATCATAGATTTTCTTTCTGTCGTCAGAATATTATCATTATCTCTGGTGAAGGAGGGGGGGAAGGGGTGGGGGGCTGATGCTTAAAGTCAGCTTTGGCCACCAGGAGTCTAGGTATGGTGCTGCATGTGGCATCCCAGAGATCAGCCCAGATCTTTGTCCCTAGGCTAGCTTTACAGCCTGTTCAGAGCTCTGTGCTGCTGCAGCTTGACTTAGGTGAGTAGCTAGCTTGAAAACTAGCTTAGATATATCTATGAACTGCAAGCTCCTGAAAAACTCCAGTGCAATTTTTCTCATGCTCAGCAATGCATCATTTTAGTACATTGCACTGACTTCCAATTGAATTCAGTGCCTGATGCAAAGTCTCTTTCTTGAGGGAAGCAAGGGTTTTGAGGTGATATCTTTTATTGGACCAACTGTATAGTTGGAAGAAATAGACAAGTCTTTGGGCACAAAGGGCCTTTCCCCAAAGCACATGTAGCTTTTTGCATATTTCCTGGACTATCGTGGCCACAACCTCTCTTATGGTAGTAGTCTAATTAGCCCTCATTAAAAGAGAGACTCAGACTTACTCTCATTGAGTGACTATGGTCTCCAAAGAATACAAATGTTTCTTTGAAACAATGAAATTAAAAAAAGGAAAAAAAAGAGGGAAGTGCAGTTTTGGAAGACAGAACTTTCATAGGAACTACATCAAGACTATGGAATGTTTTGCAAGATGAAATGTGAATTACAATAAGATTTCTCAACATTAAAAAACTTGCAAAAACCCAGTATTCAAGTAGTTTTTTTCTGTTATTTTTTAAAATCTGTCTGAAATTTACATCCTGTCATCTGAGGAGGAAGAAAGCAATGTGATTTTTAATCATAGGTAGCTCTGAGATACTGCAGTGATAACATAAGAAAATGTAATATAAAAGGCCATAACAAGAGAGGAGATGAACTAGGTTAGTGTTGCAGATTCACTGGCATTTGAAAGGGAGGCTTAAAGGGAAGGAGAAATTAGATATTAGAGCAAAATAGAAATTATATATGCATTTGATCATCTTGCCCACACTCCATCAGTGCAGAATTGTTTTCTACAGTATGGGGTTCCAGGCCAATTTAAATGGTTTGAGAAATAGATGCCTGGATAGCTTAGGATTTGGAGACTTTGTTTTACCCTGTTTTACTCTTGTTCATGTTTTATCTCTATCTCTTTAATAACAAACCATATTTTGCAATTGTACTGGAAAATCCTGCAAAAAGATTAAAATTATCACAAGCTATTTCATATCTTATACTATCTTCTTGATTGTACACTATATTCCAAAATATATCATGTGAAAAACATTATGTGACTGACTGTTGCTGGCAGCTTCAAAGGCAGTGGATCTCAA